CGGCGGGTGGCTGGCTGGAGCCGTGCCAGGTGCAGGGTCTGCTGGCTGGGTGCTGGCAGGCTTGCACCTGGCACAGGCACCATAGCCAGCCCGTGCCCCTTTAAGGGCTCCGGGGCCGGGAGGGGGGCAGAAGAGTTTCCCTGGCTTGGCCCAGAGTGGCCACCAGGGCAAGCTGGGATGGGCTAGCTTCCCACTAGTTCAAATTAAGTGGCTACACAGCCCTTAATTCGAACTACTTAATTCGAACTAGGCGTTAGTCCTCGTAGAATGAGGTTTACCTAGTTCGAATTAAGCGCTCCGCTAGTTCGAATTAAGTTCAAACTAGCGATTTGTCTGTGTAGCACCTATGAAAGTTAATTCGAACTAACGGCTGTTAGTTCGAATTAACTTTGTAGTGTAGACATACCCCAAGAGATGTGGGTTCAGAAAGTCAGTCGAAAATCTTACACAAAGTTATGGTGTTCTAGCTGAATTCAACTGTCAATAGTAAACTCTTCCTTCAACTTCCCTTACTCCTCATGAAATGAGGTTTACCCAGGAGTAAGAAATCCTCCAGCTCAACATTATTTCGAAATAATGGCTTGCAGTGTAGACATTCAATACTGTGTAGATGTACCTTTTGTGATCAACAGCCTGGAAGTAAAAGTGGATAAGCAAATGAAGACTACGGCCACATCTACACTATAGATACTATATTGGCATAGCTCTGTGTGTTATATGTGCTGGCATAACCCCATAGCCTAGACATGGCCGATACCAGTAGAAGGGGCTTTTCTACTAGGGTTGGAACACTACATTCCCAAGCAGTGGTTGTAGGTTGGCAGAAACATTCTTCCGTCGATCTAGCTGCACCTACATCAAGAGTTGGGTTAGCAGAGCACTGGGCCACCAGGAGGGAGTGGGGCAGGGAGGTAAAGAGGGCAGCTGCCCTTTAAAGCACTGCGGAAGTTCTGTGTGGCACAGTCCAAGCAGCCCTTAAGGCTGATTGTGGGAAGCTAGTCCCCATCCTTATCTCCATTCAGTCTGAGACCCTGCATCTTCCACAAGGCCTTATGCCGACCCCCTCCCCACTAACACATAGACTCATAGACTTTAAGGTCAGAAGGGACCATTATGATCATCTAGTCTGACCCCCTGCACAGTGCAGGCCCCAGGACCTCACCCACCCACTACTCACCTATATCTCAGATATTGAAGTCCTCAAACGCTGGTTTAAAGACCCCAAGATGCAGAGAATCCTCCCACAAGTGACCCGTCCCCCATGCTACAGAGGAAGACAAAAAACCTCCAGGGCCTCTGCCAATCTACCCTGGAGGAAAATTCCTTCCCGACCCTAAATATGGCGATCAGCTAAACCCTGAGCATGTGGGCAATACTCACCACCCAGACACCCAGTGTATGTCTACACTACCCCGCTAGTTCGAACTAGTGGGGTAATGTAGGCATACCGCACTTGCAAATGAAGCCCGGGATTTGAATTTCCCGGGCTTCATTTGCATAAGCGGGGCCCCGCCATTTTTAAAACCCCGCTGGTTCAAACCCCGTGCAGCGCGGCTACACGGGGCACGAACT